CCATAATCATAGATTTATTTAAAAGTAGAGTAAAAATATTTATTGTTTAAAAGGAACCAACAATCTTAAAATGAAAGTACAAAAAGTGTAAATTTGTAATAATTCCTTTAAAAAAAGCTATTTTTCAAAAATGGAAACATGATAATGTATCACAAACGAGCTAGCCATTATGAAATATAATTTGAGTACTTTTAAAATATACGAGTATATAATATATATTTTACTCTGTATAAAAATAACAAATGATGTTTTAGTAAATTACAGCTTTAACCCTAAATATCGTAAAATGTCTTCTACCAGAATTGGTTTAAAGAATTATTGTGATAAGCAATACTGATAATTATTAAAAATTATGTTTACATTCTACATTTTACTGCAATCAATGCTTGTTATAGACTCGCGAGACTTATAATGAAAACAGAAGAAGTAATATGAGAAAGAAAAATAAATTAAAATATTATGCATTGGAAAAGTGAATAAACTTTCCTAGGGGCCAATTCTACTAAATAAATTTTGTTTAAATCGAATTGAAAACGGATCGAAACCGAACGAAACTACAGTTTTTAATGGTTTTTCTATTCTACTAAGTGACATACGATACAATTCCTGCTAAAATAGAACTGGAATTGTATCTTATGTCACTTTGTAGAATAGGAACGAATTAAACAAAATTTATTTAGTAGAATTGGCCCCCTGGTTGAAAATAATAATAAATTTTATACCTACTCAATTAAGGTTTATGCTCCTTATCCATAAATCGGTCATGTTTACCACTATGCATTCATGGTGAAGTCGATAGCTCTTCTCAGAGAAAGTCATTATCTCTAATCAGATAGTCGAAACCTCTAGTCAAAAAGTCGATATCTCTAATCAAAGAGTCGATATTTTTATACTGTAGTCAGAGATATCGACCGACCTATTCCTCCTTAGTCAGTATGTCCTTAGGTTATTCACTAAACGATTTACTATATACACTGCTACCTCGTAACACGAAATTCGTTTTGGTATTCAAAGTAATATGCATGATTATTACCGCAATAATTGGTCGAAAATGTCTATAAATTTAATTGGTTGGCTGCGAATTGTTAAGGTAATTATCATTAGGGCTCCACAGGTATTTTGTTTAATATTGTTCACATGTCGGTTATTTATGACGTATATGAGACTTGTTTTGTGTTTTGCCGTCGAGACGATGAATGGCATAATTTCGTTATTATGTAGGATCTATAAATCTCTTTTTCAGCTTAAATTAAAAGGTCAGAAGAATTATGTTTCAAATTATATGGTAGGGCAAGAGTCGCTCCTGTACTATGCTTATATTTTATTAAATTTTGACATGACAATTATTATAACTTTAATTATTTATTAAAAATGTTTCATTTGCCCCCTCGAGCAATATTTACTTTAACTAGAGTATATTTCAGTGTAATAAAATTCGTATATTGCTTGCAATTGTTTCCACAATATAAATATTTTTTCTATATTATTACACATTCACTAAAAACTTATTTACTAGTATTATAACTACTGAAACTTGGAACTACTATTCCAGATTTATCAACAGAAGTATAGATTGACTTTTTATGCTGATAAAATACAACGAATCCAATATTTGCAGGAACAAATAAAATAAACCAATAATAAACTAGAAAAAAAGGTTAGATATACTCGTATATCAACTTATTGCTTCTTAAACTAACGAATTGTAAAGTCGCATGGTCGTAACAAAAACAAAAGATAATTAAATTACCTATATATATATATATATATATATATATATATAATTTTATCAGAACTAATTCGTAAAAGTGTAGGTAACGGGACGTCGAGGAAAAAAGACATATGTAACAAAAAAGAAATTCGAAGCTTTTTCCATTTTATCGTAAAGAATGAAATAAACTATATTTGGGTAGTTTAAGTTAGTGATCAGTTTTGCTCAAGTTTTATTATATCCGTATTTTACAAACTATTTTTTGACTGCACCTAAATAATGTTAAATTTTTGGGATTTTTAAGCTATTGCATAGCTTTTATCGCAGGCTTTGAGTGCGGGTCCGAATCGAGAAATTTCAAAACGAAATATACCTAACACCCCCCACTCCGACCGGCACAGCTGTGCGGCATTGTAAGCCGTACATCGCGGCTTTGAGCGCGGCGACCGAATCGAGAATTCCGTAACGAAACATACCATAATGTAAATTTGTTTTCTTATCGGTTACCACGCTCAAAAAAAAACATTGCGTAAATATTATAATTGCATAAGTTGATAAAAATGCTATGCGATAGCTTTACCGCGGCAGTCTCCGAGTGCCACACGTAATTTTTTTATAAATCTACCAATCACATGATTGATAAATTAATGTAAATGAATAAATATAGCATTGTCAATGCAAATCGACCTAACATAATAATGTAATTATAATTCCACGCATATTATAATGACCCACTGAAAATCAAGAGTTGGAGGTTTCCGCGTTGTTTTCGTGTGTACTACGCGAACGGTTGCGCAAGCGACGCTGTATTTAGCCCGCCCTTTCCGACACGATCATGCACACCCACCTTTATCATACGTCACGTTGCTGCCATGGCCGCAACGTAACTCTGTTACAATTATCTAACACAAACTTGTATTACACTAGCGTACGAGTGATATGATAACAACCGATTACATTAAGCTCTTTCTGATTTCCGAATCAGTGTGTATTAATCAACTGATATCATTTGAAGTAATCTATTACAAAAATTTATAATTAAGCTTGAAATTTTTATTATTATATTCTCTTTCCTCTTTATTTAAGAGAAGAATATTATATCTATATACATAGTATAAAACTAAGTTGCTTCCCGCTGTCTGTACGCTAAAATTAATAAACTTTTTAAACTACACAATATTTTAATAACACGGCATAATGCTAGTTTAAAAATAAAGGTTTTATTCTACCGACAGATTTAAGGTTACACCAATGTTAAACAAACTTTGTAGTATGTAACATATCGTTAGTTCCCCGAAAATGTCCAAAGAATACAACGTATCTAAGTTTTCCATGTCACGTCTCGTCTCAGTCGGTTGTCTAGACATCGCTGGGCAAGACGTTTTTCTTTTCTCGGTAATACAAACGAATTTTGGCAGACCCCTTTATATACAGTTGGCAAGCTCGCAAGCTTTCATACGGAAAATGAATGAAAGCCGACGATGGACTTAGTCACGCGTCCGTACCCGTCGACCCCTCTGAGACCGGCCACATTACAATACCTATACTTCCAGAAGACGTCCAAGGTTAATTCCATTGAAACACCAAAGGAATGTCACTCACTGTCATTTTATCAGATCAACAAAAAAAACATATGTATTATTAATTAACAATGACTAGAGTGTTATATGAAAATTATTACGAAACGAAAGCTGGCACTTTGTCATCACTTTTAGAATAAGTAATCTCTCAATGAGTAATTACGTTGCAATATATAGTATGTAATGCTTTAAAAGTTCCATTAAAAATATTGATTAAATAAAAGTTACTTTTTCTCTTCGAATAAACGGACACATTATATCTTTAAGAAAAATGGTAAAAACATTCACTAGTACTTATAAAACGACCCCAATATAATATAGCATTTTGAATGCAAAATTAATCAAAATAATTAAAACATATATTTGTTAAAATTCAATTATAATTTAAATGCACTGATATAAAGCCTTTTATTGTTTTCCCTGAAAGAACTAAACAGATCAACCACTAAAAAATATATATATATAATTTAAATAGCTTTCCGCCAGCGAGTTCACTCGCGTGATCCTACATTAACATATAAATCTTCTTCATAAAACACCCTACATATCGATTAAAACCGTATTAAAATCCGTTGTGTAGTTTTAAAGATCTCATTGTACAGACAGCGGGGAGCGACTTTATTTTAACTATCTATAAATGACAACTTTTAACTTATAAAGACTTCCATATAAAATCTAAACTAAATTTGAAGATATACTTAATCATAATTATTGTTAGCGTATTGAATAAAAGTTAACCATCCAAATGTATGTGAAAATAAATAAGGGACCGTATAAATCGTAATTCGTTGATGTCTATTTATTGTAAAAACGTTAAATGGAAAAATGTTATACTGTTTCAGTGTTTAACTTGTAAAAACTTATTTTCACAAAGGAATAATAATATTTTATATCTAATCACAGTAAAATAAGTAATCCTCATTTATATATATATTATAATACACTTTATGATTATATATAAAATCATAAATAACCTTCAATATGTATTTTAAAAATACTATTTTTAATAATATATTATTATTTAAAGTTTGAGGTGTTCCAGACGATAAAAAGTTCATACAAGTTAATTCATTGTAGAGTTTAACCAAAACAAGCAAAATAAAGTTAATCATGTAAACATACGTCTCTATGAGTAATTTATTAATCAATCATCAAGTAATAGATACAGAGCGCATAGTATAATTCCACTGACCTTATAAAAAACCACAGATCTGAGATTAAGTTTAAAAGACCAGTAGTTGATGATAAATAATAATAGTTATCATGTGTTTACATCACATTGTTTACATGGATTAGCCGGACGAAGTCTTTGCCCGATAAGAAAGATTATTTGATCATCGTTCAAAAATATAAAACGTCTTGACTCCTTGACATTTCTCTCTTAATATTGATATTGAAAACAGTCATTCTCACGTGGTATTATTTTCATATTCTATCATACTTACAGCATATCGCCACTGATAAAGCGACCATCGATAATAGGTAAAAACTAAAATTCACGAGTTTAAACTAAAATGCGTTTAACGCTCTAGTCTTGTCTATAGAATATCGCAGAAGTGTCGGAATGTAATTATTTACATAAACACACGTGCAGTGGACGGTTGGATCGCGAGTTCCGCAGCGGCATCGAGTTTATAGTCACTGATGCAAATGCAGATCGATGTGCATTTAATTGAGGTAGGAGTGTCGAGTAATGCATTGGCACTCACCGGCGGGACGCGTGGTACGCCTAGCGGGTTCGTCCTCGCGGAGGGTAGGAGCATGCCGGCGGGCTGCCACAGGTCCCAGCGCCGCCAGCGTAACCAGAAGCAGCGCTGGCAACATCGCCGCACTGTACAGTGTTCGCCTCCCGGCCACGAGCTCACTATTTTCGCCGCGTGCGTTTCGTGCGTTATTCGCGGTGCGCGCGTGTAGTAAACGTCGTCGTAGCGCGACGGCTGAGCCGGACTGAGCGAGAGGAGCGCGATTTCCCGGCTGTAGGCGCGAGGGGGCCGGCCGGCGACGCGTGGAAAACGCAGAGCGCGCGCCCCGCCGCCGCGGTACGGGCGGGGAAAAATGTCGAGAGCGCCGCCCGCCCCGCGTGCGTTGCACGTATTTGCTTAACAGCCCAACTCTTGCCTCTAAAGAATTGCGAGTTTGTAAGACAAAATTCTCGATAAAAACCGTACACTTTGAAGTTGCTGATGTATAATATCAATACAATTTTGTATCCTAAACAAGACATTTGCATTTATGTAGTCTATCAAAGTCTCTTGCGCACGTATATAAGGGCGGCTTTTCAGGGTGAAAACACAGGGTTAGTTCAAGTCTTGTGTTACCATAAACTCTTCTTAACCGTTATTGAATTCTTAATCAAATATAGTATATTTTAAAGATTTCTTTACTTAAAAGTTATACAAACTAAAAATAATTTTCCTTACTTTGTAATGTGCAACGAGTGAGAGAGATCGGCCGAGATCCGCAGTGTATAAACACAATAATAATAAATAATAATTCCACTGGAATTCCATTCCTCCGGACTTTTGATTTTTTTTATCTAGTAACCCTAAGTACGTATGTATATTTAGGCATTTAAAGTTTAACTTAAACAAACCGATTATTATTTCGATTTTTAGTGTTTACAAAATTCATGTTACAAATATAGAGGTTCATTTAAAAGCATAATAAACCCAAAATAAATTTCAAAATGATAATGAAAGCTAATGGTGAAATTAGTAAAATATGAAGTTAGAATAATCAAAAACAATATCTTAATTTCTGATTAGTGAAGACTTGTTTTTAAACGACCCTTCTGTCGTTTCAATATAAACAAAACAAACACAAAAAATATTAATAGTTATTTATTCACAATTACATATTGATTTTAATAATAATAATAAAATTTTGTTATTTTATAACCTATAAAAAAGAAGGAAAAGATTGGTTTTACCGTTACGTATTTAAAAAGAAAAACGGAACACCTATGTGATACACCTATATCGCACGGGTATCAACTTACCAATATATGTTAGTGTATCTGTCAGAGTCAATGCGTAAGTGCCGAATTGCGTCGACCCTACTGGGTCAATGGGGATAAAGACTAATTTTTGTTTATTAATCCGTGGGGTAGATTATTAAAGATTATTACAGCCATTTTCACTAACCTAGAACAAGGCATAGCTTAACTAGGAAACGCCTAATATTAGGATCGTATCAGCAGATAAGTTTAAATTGAAATAAATGTTTTTTTCTTTTATCCTTGACATATTTATGATTTGGGTGTCTCCTTAGTTATGTCAACGGACATTAAACACTCATTTTTTGCGAAATCAATAAATTACGACGATATATTTAGTTGAAATATTGCGTGACGTCATTGCTTATTTTCTACTCAAGAAATAATAAAAAATACGTATATAATATTTTTCTATTATAGATAATACTGACGAACTAAAAATAATTTCTTTTTTTACCCAGGCATATTCGTGAAGACGAATACACCTCTATTGCTCAAACCGTCCGCCTTTATAGAGCGAAGAGAATTTAAAAACTATATTATAGCGTTTTGCTATAGTGTACCCAAGACTTCTAGTGTAGTAAAACGGAATTAAAGTATCATCAAGGAGAAAAAGTTTTTTTTTTCATTTTTGTTTCTGTCACCAAAGAGCCCACATAAAATTCTTTATTCAAATGTATAATACTTTTCAATAAGAACTTTTTGAAAATCTCTCTCTTTATGATATTTGATAAATTTAGCAAAAACATTTTTAATGAAAAATTCATTTCGGACCTACTAAGAAAAAATATAACAAGTAGCACAACTCCGACATGTACTTGGCCGTTCATATTATTGCCAATTTCATATTTATCATTATAACAATTAAAATACAACTGTTTCTTTCTCATTTTCCATAGAAGGTTTTCAGACGAAGAATATTATTAATAGCTTTTGCCCGCAACTCCGTTTACGTTGTTTTGGTATTTACAGTCGTTTATTTTAAACAACTTCAAAAAATAAGAATGGGTTTCAATTTGACTGTTTCCTTGTATCCATATTTCACTTTTTGTTTATTTGAAAGAGTATATCCTCAAAATAATGCCATTACAACTTTGAAGAAATAAGATCAGTAGTTTTGTTTTAATATGAAAAAAAACTATTAAAACTACATCGCCTAAATTATCTTAATATAGTTGGTGGTTGGCACATAGCCACTCTTAAATATAAATGTTTATTTTCATAAATAAAGAGGCTTGAAAATCGTAAAATAATTCTTATTATGGAAAATTCGAGCTATGTTGAGGAAGAGGGCTATACAAAGAGTCCCATCTCAGAGATGGGACCCGAACGCTAACCACTCAGATTTTTTCAAGCACTCGTTACTTTTCGGTACTAGTGAGCGTATTTTCATCAATGTTCAGGCAATCCAGGTCGTGGGTTGGAGTCTCATCTCAGAGTACCTGGGCCTGGTGATAATTAAATAAATCACAAAGAGTCTGCTGTCCGTCCCTCCGCCAGCCTGCCTGTCCGTCTGTCACCGGGCTGTATCTTATGAAACCTGATAGTTTAAATTTCGCTTTAATACCAAATTTATGGGGCCAACATGTTTTCTCTCCTTTCCGGTAGGAATATTCCTTTCTGAATTTCGACTCGCACTTGACTTATTCAATCTTTTAAAGCTCCCCAACTTTTCTTTAAAAACCATACGTATACCTCTTATTGTTTAAGCAGCGTTCAAAAATAGATGACCTTGGAAGTACTTCTATCCTTATGGAACCTTTTAGTGGGATAAAGTCATATATTAATTCAAACCAAAATGGCCTATAACCAAATTTCATCAAAATCCGTTCAGTAGTTTTTGCTTCAAGAAATAATAAATCTCCAAACATTCAAACCTACAAACTTTCGCCTTTATAATATTAGTATAGATTCGGAAGTATATATATCATTACGTATATCATATACTTGGAAAAGGCTAGTCGGATTTCATATTTGTTGAGGCCACTTTTTCAAGAACTGTATTCTCAAGTATTAGCAATAGTTTGGAAACATTTTCATGTAAAAAAATGGAAAGTTTCAATATATTTTTATAGTAATGCGATAAAACACTACAAAGCGACTGGAACGAAAAGATATCCCTCTACTAAAGACATCTATGTGATATATAAATATACGAGTAGGTACTCTCGCTGATGGCACACTCGACTTTAGAAGACTCTAAGAAAATATCAAATTATAACATTCAATTTTATTGCAAATAAAAACAAGAGAAAAAAAATGAATTATTCTATGAGTGGATTTAATAAGAAAATCTTTTAGGTTAATAAATAATTACCTAGCCCATTTTTTTTCATAGGAAAAAATACTATTATATTTTTTTATCAATTTGACATTCACAATACTGGAAAATATTCTTAATTAAAAATGCTTAAAAAATTCACCAGCCAAAGGTACGTTCGAGTCCCATCTCGAAGATGGGACTCGAACGCTAACCACTCAGATTTTTTCAAGCACTCGTTACTTTTCGGTACTAATGAGCGTATTTTCATCAATGTTCAGGCAATCCAGGTCGTGGGTTGGAGTCTCATCTCAGAGTACCTGGGCCTGGTGATAATTAAATAAATTTCATTAAGAATAAAAATTTACTATTAGCATTCCCCAACAAACTCACATCACAAATATCTCTGAAGACGAAATTAAGCGCGAGCTTGGTTTTACTTTAATAGATATTTCTATTTATACTTATTTCTGCTTTATGAAATAAATGATACGACTAGCTCGGCCCCATGCCAAATCAATAAATCCACCAGATATGCTCCAGTACTATAATGTCCTTAAGTATATTGATAGCAACGGTTAGGTACTGTGATGAAAACAGATCACAGTATATAATATATTTATTAAGCTATACGCCATTATTGCTTCGATCAACAAGAGCATTGTTGTTTTGAAAGTAATAAAAAATTTAATCTCTCCGTCTTATAATTCTTCTATTTTTTATTTATTTTTCCAGTGCATTATAAAAAAAATAGCTACTAAATAGATAGATTTGGGATGCACCCACCTAACTCCCTTGCCATGACGCTAGCTATAGCACACACAACATCTTAGCGATGCTTTGACAATTTTCCTTTCATTTTACTGCTTTGACATATTCTTTTTAACGACGAACGAATGATGAAGAAGGATGATTTATACATTTAATAGCAGTGCTACTCGTACCAACAAGTAATTATTTCTTTGTCCGCCAAAGGACAAAATACGCAAAAAGAAATGAAATATAGAAAATAGTAGCAGTTGAATTTTAAAACGATAGAAAAAGTGGGAAACAAAGTCAAAAGTATAAACAGAGTTCAAAAGGAGGCTGCTAAAAACTGTTAGAGTCACGGTCATGAATTGCCGTGAAACTAAAATAACTGAAATCTTAATTACAGAAATATTGGGGCACGTGTATCGAAAACAATGTTGAAAAGCACACAAACAACTCAGATTACTACGCTCACGCATAGGAAGCTAGTAAGTTCCTGTGGTAATATGAGACGCGGTCGTACTTACGCAACGCGACTAAGCCGAATAAATATAGATATTATGAATATAAACTTTATTCGTCTATACAATCAATAATACAAGTGATTAGCAAAATAACAAAATCTAGGATGTGATGTGGGATAAACCAAGACAGCTGAGTTGCAAAACAAGACGTAGATAATAGATAAATGAAATGTAAAGTAATAACATTCAAAACTGATTTTAAATAAAAGTATCTAATTGAAGAAATGCGGTTTGCGATACGGAGTTAAAACATTTCTCATGGCCTAGTTATAGGATGGATGACAAAAAAAATTTTATGTCTAGCTCTAACTTGCTCCGGAAGGTACAGGCTGTAGGTATGTAGACAGTTGAAATAATCACAGATGATGTGTTTCTGTTATTATTTAATTGTGGTCTATTAATAAGCCACTACGTGTTTTTCATATTGAAACATAAAATAAGTCTGTGCTCCCATATTGTAAAAAATTAATTGTTTACTATTATTTGT